CAATTAAGAAAATGGTAATAGGAACATACATATCCATAATTACCTTAAATGTAAATGGATTAAATGCTCCAACCAAAAGACACAGGTTTGCTAAATGGATACAAAAACAAGACCAATATATATGCTGTCTACAAGAGACCCACTTCAGACCTAGGAACACATTCAGACTGAAAGTGAGGGGATGGGAAAAGATATTCCGTGCAAGTGGAAATCAAAAGAGAGCTGGAGTAGCACTACTCATATCAGATAAAATAGACTTTAAGATAAAGAATGTTACAAGAGACAAGGAAGGACACTACATAATGATCAAGGGATCAATCCAAGAAGAAGATATAACAATTATAAATATATATGCACCCAACATAGGAGCACCTCAATGCATAAGGTAACTGCTAACAGCTATAAAAGAGGAAATCAACAGTAACACAATAATAGTGGGGGACTTTAACACCTCACTTACACCAATGGACAGATCATCCAAAGTGAAAAGAAATAAGGAAACAGAAGCTTTAAATGACACAATAGACCAGATAGATTTATTTGATATTTATAGGCCATTCCATCCAAAAACAGCAGATTACACTTTCTTCTCAAGTGTGCATGGAACATTCTTCAGGATAGATCACATCTTGGGTCACAAATCAGGCTTCAGTAAATTTAAGAAAATTGGTCATATCAAGCATCTTTTCTGACCACAATGCTATGAGATTAGAAATGACTTACAGGGAAAAAATGTAAAATATACAAACACATGGAGGCTAAACAATACGTTACTAAATAACCAAGAGATCACTGAAGAAGTCAAAGAGGAAATCAAAAAATACCTAGAGACAAATGACAATGAAAACACAATGATCCAAAACCTGTGGGATGCAGCAACAGGAGTTCTAAGAGGGAAGTTTATAGCTATACAAGCCTTCCTCAGGAAACGAGAAAAGTCTCAAATAAACAATCTAACTTACACCTAAAGGAACCAGAGAAAGAAGAACAAACAAAACCCAAAGTTAGCAGAAGGAAAGAAATCATAAAGATCAGAGCAGAAATAAATGAAATAGAAACAAAGAAAAGAATAGCGAAGATCAATAAAACTAAAAGCTGGTTCTTTGAGAAGGTAAACAAAATTGATAAACCATTAGCCAGACTGATGAAGACAAAGAGGGAAAGGGCTCAAATCAATAATATTAGAAATGAAAAAGGAGAAGTTACAACAGACATGGCAGAAATACAAAGCATCCTAAGAGACTACTACAAGCAACTCTATGCCAATAAAATGGACAACCTGGAAGAAATGGACAAATTCTTAGAAACGTATAACCTTCCAAGACTGAACCAGGAAGAAAGAGAAAATATGAACAGACCAATCACAAGTAATGAAATTGAAACTCTGATTAAATACCTTCCAACAAACAAAAGTCCAGGACCAGATGGCTTCACAGGTGAATTCTATCAAACCTTTAGAGAAAAACTAACACCCATTCTTCTCAAACTCTTCCAAAAAATTGCAGAGGAAGGAACACTCCCAAACTCATTCTATGAGGCCACCATCACCCTGATACCAAAACCAGACAAAGATAGTACAAAAAAAGAAAATTACAGACCAATATCTCTGATGAATATGGATGCAAAAATCCTCAACAAAATACTAGCAAACAGAATCCAACAACACATTAAAAGGATCAGACACTATGAGCAAGTGGGATTTATCCCAGTGATGCAAGGATTCTTCAATATATGCAAATCAATCAATGTGATACACCATATTAACAAATTGAAGAATAAAAACCATATGGTCATCCCAATAGATGCAGAAAAATCTTTTGACAAAATTCAACACCGATTTATGATAAAAACTCTCCAGAAAGTGGGCATAGAGGGAACCTACCTCGACATAATAAAGGCAATATACGACAGACCCACAGCAAACATCATCTCAGTGGTGAAAAACTGAAAGCATTTCCTCTAAGATCAGGAACAAGACAAGGATGTCCGCTCTCACCACTGTTATTCAACGTAGTTTTGGAAGTCCTAGCCGCAACAGTCAGAGAAGAAAAAGAAATAAAAGTAATACAAATTGGAAAAGAAGAAGTAAAACTGTCACTGTTTGCAGATGACATGATTACTATACATAGAGAATTGTAAAGATGCCACCAGAAAATTAGTAGAGCTAATCAATGAATTTGGTAAAGTTGCAGGGTACAAAATTAATGCACAGAAATCTTTTGCATTCCTATATACTAATGATGAAAATTCTGAAAGAGAAATTAAGGAAACACTCCCATTTACCATTGCAACAAAAAGGATAAAATACCTAGGAATAAACCTACCGAGGGAGACAAAAGACCTGTATGCAGAAAATTGTAAGACACTGATGAAAGAAATTAAAGATGATACCAACAGATGGAGAGATATACCATGTTCTTGGATTGGAAGAATCAGTATTATGAAAAGGCTGTACTACCCAAAGTAATCAACAGATGCAATGCAATCCCTATCAAATTACCAATGGCAATTTTTACAGAACTAGAAGAAAATATCTTAAAAATTGTATGAAGACACAAAAGACCCCGGACACCCAAAGCAGTCTTGAGGGAAAATAGCAGAGCTGGAGGAATCAGACTCCCTGACTTCAGACTATACTACAGAGCTACAGTAATCAAGACAATACAGTATGGGCACAAAAACAGAAATATAGATCAGTGGAGCAGGAAAGAAAGCCCAGAGATAAACCCACGCACCTATGGTTAACTAATCTATGACAGAGGAGGCAAGGATATACAATGGAGAAAAGACAGTCTCTTCAATAAGTGGTGCTGGGAAAACTGTACAGCTACATGTAAAAGAATGAAATTAGAACCCTCCCTAACACCGTACAGAAAAATAAACTCAAAATGGATTAGAGGCGTGAATGTAAGCCTGGAAACTATAAAACTCTTAGAGGAAAACATAGGAAGAACACTCTTTGACATAAATCACGGCAAGATCTTTTTTGATACACCTCTTAGAGTAATGGAAACAAAAACAAAAATGAACAAATGGGACCTAATGAAACTTCAAAGATTTTGCACAACAAAAGAAACCATAAACAAGACAAAAAGACAACCCTGGGAATGGGAGAAAATATTTGCAAACGTATAAATGGACAAAGGATTAATCTCCAATATATATAAACAGCTCATGCAGCTCAATATTAAAAAAACAAACAACCCAATCCCAAAATGGGCAGAAGACCTAAATAGACATTTCTCCAAAGAAGACATACAGATGGCCAAGAAGCACATGAAAAGCTGCTCAACATCACTAATTATTAGAGAAATGCAAATCAAAACTACAACGAGTTATCACCTCACAGCAGTTAGAGTGGGCATCATCAGAAAATCTACAAACAACAAATGCTGGAGAGGGTGTGGAGAAAAGGGAATCCTTTTGCACTGTTGGTGGGAATGTAAATTGTTACAGCCACTGTGGAGAACAATATGGAGTTTCCTTAAAAAACTAAAAATAGAATTACCAGATGATCCAGCAATCCCAGTATTGGGCATATACCCAGAGAAAACCATAATTCAAAAAGACACATGCACCCCAATGTTCATTGCAGCACTATTTCCAATAGCCAGGTAGTGGAAGCAACCTAAATGCCCATCGCCAGATGAATGGATACAGAAGATGTGGTACATATATACAATGGAATATTACTCAGCCATAAAAAGGAACAAAATTGGTCATTTGTTGAGACATGGATGGATCTAGAGACTGTCATACAGAGTGAAGTAAGTCAGAAAGAGAAAAACAAGTATCGTATATTAACGCATATATGTGGAACCTAGAAAAATGTTACAGATGAACCGGTTTGCAGGGCAGAAATTGAGACACAGATGCAGAGAACAAACGTATGGACACCAAAGGGGGCAAGCGGCGCGGGGTGGTGGTGGTGGTGTGATGAATTGGGCTATTGGGATTGACATGTATACACTGATGTGTATATAATGGATAACGAATAAGGACCTGCTGTATAAAAAAATAAATAATATAAAATTCAAAAATTCAAAAAAAAAATGTTTTCAGTGTATAGGTTTTCAAAGTAGCTATGCATCAGAGCAAAAGCACAGTATCCGTTCATCTAATAGTATTTTGCATTATAAGAATACAAGGGAAAAGATCTTCCCGAACCCTAGTTGATCATCTCTAGAGGAGTGTCTGTACAAATTATCTGGCCTCCTTATTCAGGAAGCACAAAGAACCTTTCTGTATGTATTTGCGTAGTATGGATGGATTTGTTTGTTTAAAATGGTCAGGCTGTACAATGAGTTCTAGTGCTAACCCCCAGTTCCTGTTCACTGTAGAACTGCTGATAACTCATTTGGGGTCTCTGTGCACTCAGACATAACATAGGATAATTCCAGCTGTATTTTGGTCCCATTATTTAGCTTTGATGTCTCAAGTTTCCAAATCTGTAAAATGGGAACAGAGATAGTACCAGTTCAAAAGGCTGTTAGGAAGATTAAATGAGTTAATACATGTAAAGCACTTAGTGCCTAACGCTTGATGTGTACTCATCAATTAAAAAATAAAATAAAATAAAATAAATAAAAAGAGCCATGCCAAGAAGTTGCCATTATTCATATTTCACAGTTGCAGGACTTGAAACTTACAGGGTTTAAGCACCTTGTCCACTTATCTAAGGATAAGAAATAGAACAGTGACTCAAACCAACCCTTAGATTTTCAATCCATGCCTCTTTAAGGGTCGAAAGAATACTTGTGTTTTAAATGCATTATTTGAAAAACATACATATTATTTTATTTCCTATGCAGCCTTTAAAAATTAGGTATTTTTTTATTACATAGGCCAATTTTGATGTCTCTGAGAATCAGAGCTGCCCTCCGGTAGTATTGCCTATCATTTTATTTTGTGAATTCACGCTAGTAATTTCTCGTGCTTAACAGTTTTAGTGTTAAAAAAAAAAAAGCTAAATCACTGTGTTCCTTTTTGCGTTTTTCCAGGTCCTGAGGAGGTAGAAATCAAGTGCCCCTTGAATCACATTGCTTGCCTTGGTGCCAACAGATGTGTCCATTTATCCCAGCTCTGCAACGGTGTCCTGGACTGCTCAGATGGGTATGATGAAGGAGTTCATTGCCGTGGTGAGTCCATTTGTGGAAAAATACAACTGAAATATTGAATTTTTCATAGTTTTCATGAAAGTTCAAAGACAACCTATAACCTGTCTTTTCTTTCAACCACAACCTTATCAGTTATTGAGAAAGCATGAGTTTTATTGCCAGAGACACTCAATATGCATTTCAAAGCTGTGACTATTGTGCTTTATTGAAAAATGCTGTTAGAAAAAAAAAAACCACACATTTAGACTTTGAAGTTGGGCTCTTAAACAATTATATATTTCATAGAAAGGAGTACTTTTGAGCAAAGGACAAAAGAGAAGTCTTAGTTACAGTATTGATACCATACATATAAAACTTGTTTCTCTGAACTGTTGCTTAAACAAAGGGTATTTGAAGTAAAACCTCTGCCATCAAATATTTTAATAGAATGTATCATGGGAAATTTTCCCTTAATATTATTTCCCTGAAGTTATACTGTTAACTTTCTTGTAATTTTCATTCTTGTTAAAAACCTGCGTTCTACAGTGGTCAAGAGTTTACCTATATACTAATGATAGGAGTAACTAAATCTCAAATTTATAAAAAGTTAATTGGAACTGGTATATTCCAATAGAACTGGTTGGGAAGGGGAGGATAAAATGTTTGACAAAGAAACAGGAAAAAGTTGAGGATTAAGGTAAGGACTGTGATCTGGAAACAGAATCAAGGTTTCAGTCAAGTGAATCAGTCTTCAACTTGGAAGCGGGAAAGAAACCACTGAATCAGAAGGTTCTAACTCAGATTCTAGCATGTTGAATGTAACACAAAGGATGTTTATTGGAACTGTCAAAGAGTAACACGTTCTTCGTGTCGAGGTCAGTGAGACAATAAAGAATGGAAGGAACTGTAGAAAGCTGGAGATGCATATCTGGTGTCTGGACAGATTGACACTAAATTGCTCCCATTTTGGAAAGGTCCTAGGTCAATTCCAGGTTTTCAGGAGGAGCTCCACATCTTTGTGTTTAAAATGTTCAAAGTTAGCTACTGCTTTTTAAACATTGTATGGTCAACAATGTACAGGCCTAACGCAACTTGTTTGGAGATGTGTCAGGGCTTACTGGCTGCCAGTTTCCCACATTTGGGCTGAAATAAACTGGGTTCAAAACCAGAGATGGAGACGTATATTAGAAAAAGAGTAAATCTTGTAGAAAGGTAATTCAAAGTGGTAAGGATGTTGAGACAGCATAGATCAGCTGGATCACTAGGTCTTTTCCCTCTTTCTAAAGGGATGTCCAATTACTCTGGCCCTGTAGACATATTCAGATTGAGAAGTTAAAGGTCTTCCTTCTTTGGCCAAGTTTCCTTTCTTAGCCTTGAACTCTGACAGGGTCACATAAGGAGCCAGTTGATTCTTAGTTTTACTTATGAACACGTGTAATAATAATTAATAAGAAATTTTATTTGTATTTAGAGGCTTTGTGACATGTACTCCTTTTTATAATTGTATAGCTTTAAAAGTGATATTAATAGAAAGTAAATTAGTGAATTACAACGTACTAGAAGTTAAAAAGTTTAATTTTCTTTACAGAAATTATATTTTCTAGAGCCTAATTCTATTTGCTTTAGTTATAATTCAGGGTTCTTATTACACTTAAAACAAAATTTCAGATAGACATGTGTGACTAAGCTTCTAAAAGAGTGAAATCATCACATTGCCAAATACTTCTCAGAGGTGATTATACAGATTTGAGTATCTTAAACATATTTCAGTGCTGTGGATCATATGAAAATATATCTGAGTTTTCTAATAAAATTTAGAGCTGGGATTTAAAAGATAAAGGGATATGTTAATAGTAAAACAGGGGATCAACTAACTATTCAATATCTGAACAAAAATGAAATGATATTAAATTCTGTTGATTTTTGAAAAGATAGCATATACTTCAGACTGAGGTTTAGAATTTGTAGCTTCCATCTTTTTTCCTGTTCTAATTTAAGTTTCCAACTGTTCCAAGTTTCATATCTTTATCACAGTGACAACCTTTTTTATTTCTTAATTTGCCAGTGGGAGGCTGATTGTACCACTTTGGCCTTTTTAATATTTCTAAATTTCACCAAATAAAGTGTTTTAAAAGACTTAACGTATTATGACCTGTGGTGGACTTAGAAATAAGAAGTATATTTGGATCTCTACCTGTTATTTACCTCAGTAGAGGGGTTTTCACCTAATTCTGTGGCCTTGCACAACTACATAGAATGGTAGGATCAAGATGACTGAATGACACAGTGATTCCAGAGTCAGTGGTTTAATGAAGTATTTCTGCATTGAGAAAGAAATATCAGAAATGTGTTTCCCTGCTTGGCCTGATAAGGTGCCCCAGACACATAGACAAAATAGAAATCTTGGAAGCAACACCAGATTTATCACATGTATATGGTTTGTGTTTAGAAAAGATGATTGATTATATGCAAAAGTATATCATGGGAACTGAGTGTACTTTCCCACCTTCAACCTTCCTCCTGATTCTGGGTCACATTCAATGAAAAGATGTTTTCTGAAGAGTTCATTAGGCAACAGCCCCATCAAGTCTCTAAGGACTTTTTCATTTACTATAGACATACAATAAAGAAAGAAACCAGGTTAATTCAAACATCACATTGATTTTTAGAAATGCTTTTTTCTGTAGAAAAATTCTTTTTAAATCACTTCTCTTTCCATTTCTTCCTTTTTGTTGGATTCCAAGCACACACTCTAAATAATTATGAAGCCTAAGACACAATTCAAAGATGGATGTTTTCTTTATACTCATAAAAGTTCCAAAGTACGTTTGGTGATATATTTGTAGCCTTTATGAAAATTAATAAGGAGAAAAATATAACATTTTGGAGGTGATATTTTGGTCTTGGGAGTGCTTTTGTATTAACTGAATTGTTTTCTGAATGGTTTCCTAGAAAAAATCAATTTCTCCTTGGTAAGGGTAATGAAAAGATATCTATTATTAATGATTTTCTATAACACTGATATTTTAATCTCCATAATTTAGCTTCATTTAAAGAACACAGTGGATTTTTGCATATGGGTGTACTTATATATAGGACTGTACTTGTAAAAGTTTTACAATATGAACCTTGAAAATCACCACATTATATTTCAGATAATTTCATGTCTTCCTGCGTAATATTTCATATTGGTGGTAATATCACTATATGTAAATTGCATGAGCAATGAAAACATATTCTATACAGTATGATACCTCTCAATACAGGATAGTTCCACAAAAATCCTTCTTCCAGAATGCTGGAGGAAGTGAACAAATTCAACTAATGGAGAATACTTGGACTGAGGTGTATCAAAACACCATTTTAGTATTTGACATTCTTAAGATAATTCATTTTGTTGACATTTAAAGTAGCTATAAAGAAGAGAAGCCCTCTTTTTATTCACAACCCTAGTTAAATTATATTTGCAGTGCAAAACGGTCGCATATTTAAATGCTCAAGGGACTGACAGTCTCTGGTGTGCTCTCTGCTATTACTCTTTTAAAAGAGTGTGGGAACTCTTCCGGTCACTGCAAAAAGGGATTCTCTCTTCTGTGGCCCGAAAAAAGTGATTATGTAATCTATGTTTTCCAGTAAGCATTCCAATCTCCCTTTAAATTCAAGGGGATAAGTGTGTGAAGAGCTTACTAAAACTGATTAGGAAATGACACTCTCTGACATCTGAAAAGCTCCCCACACAGACACACAAATATGCATACACAGACACACATACTCTTCTTTTCTGATTTCTCTTTTCTAAACCTCTTCCTACATGATTATGAGTGTATAATGTATTAATTTGGTGTATTTGATCAGGAACCTAAAGAAGAATAAGATTCTTGTGTGTATCATCTAACTCCTTGAAATAATGCATATTAAGAAATTTTAAAATTCCATTTGATTATTTTACTTGCCAATTAGAATATAATTTTCCCGATATGCAATTACATTTTTCTCTACCTACAATCTAATGTATTTATTTTAGATTCTAGTAATTCTAGTATGTTTATTTTAATGTATTTGTTTTAGACACTGACTTGCGTTTAAAATTTTATATATTTTTCTTTTATATTACTATTCATAAAAGTAAATTCTTATGAGATGATGCCAAAAAATCCTGGAGCTAATTTACAAATTAGAGGCTTTCTCAAAATGGACCAAGGTAAATGGCAAACCTTATTAATAACTACAGTGATTCACCATAGGAAAATTAGTAATCCTTAAAACTTCTGTGTGGATCTCATATATTTCAAATATTCCAAAAAGGAATTAATCTACCCCAATTAATTAGATTTAATTAATTGATTTGACAAAATTAAATTTAATAAAAGAGTTAGGAATTAATTCTTAACTCAAATTCAGGACTCTCCTTTCTGGAAAAATGAAAAAAACAAATTTTATCTTGTGGTGGTGCTTCATTAGTCATTACAACACTGATTTCAGAGTAGCATCAGAATAGCTTTTAGCTACCAAAAAGGAAGGAAGGAAAGAAAGAAGTTAGTGAATTCAATAAGGAAAACAAATGAATTTGGAGCATTTTATTGTTTTTACTTTCATTTTATTGTATGAATGGATCTTGTTCTATTTCTATTTTAAAAGTTCCCATTGAAAAGTACTACCAATCTCTTTCTAAATTAAAATGAGCTTACCATGCTACAGAAGGGGATTTCAGCATGCAGAATCTGAAAACAAAGGTATGGAAAAGAGGTACAGTTATAAGCAGTGTTATAGAAAGTGTATCTGTCAGCAACATACAGCTTAAAGCACATGGAGGGAAACTTCACAGTGTGTACTCAAGTCACTTGAAACATCAGTAAACCTAGAGCTAGAAAACAAGCAAACTGGAATTAGCCAGGAGGACCTGGGTTTGTGTGCTCAGGCCACGTTTGATTACTAAAGCTCCAGCAACTGAGTAGATCCTCTGTATTCTTTCTTTGTGTTGGGTTGTGTTAAGGTGATCAGATAGTCTCAGATCTATCTTAAGTGTAAACATTTTCTCCAAA